TATAAAGTCTTTGTAAAGTAATCTTCTAATTTAACCGACGTAATCGGAATTCAGCAAGTCGAGCGCATTTGTATATTGGCTCATGAATCAACTCAGTTTTATTCGTATCACGTGATGTTTGTTGTATCAATGAAATAAAACGTAGTGTTGTATACTCTTTAGTATCAACTATCCGCGCAATTTAGTTCCGCATTGATCGTGTTCCAGTAGGTGCAGGCGAGCGTTTGTGCAATGCGCACCAACCGCGGGAATTTACATTGAGACGTTTGCACGTTTCACTAAATTCCTCTAAATATAACAATGTAGGTAAATCATTGTATTAGAGCCAGACAGCATCTTCTCTGTAGCAAGAATGGGCAGGCTCGTCCGGGGAAGTGCTGCGGCAGGAGAACACCAGTCAAAGTATCACACTTTGGCGTTTCATCTGGTGACTCAGGTAAACGGGGCGCACTTTTTGATGGTTAGCAATAAAAAAAAAGATATATTAAAATTTTAATTATTAAAGTTAAAATTATATTGAAATTCGGTCATACATTGCAACATGTAGAATGAAATCTTTCTACTGATCATAATTCATTCGATTTTGTACTAAATTTTTTTTTGTTATACTTAACGAATTATTTTCACCTAATAGAAGTCTAAATATTGAATGTCTGTAAAAATTAGAAATCATTTTTCGTTGCTTCCGAAGCAGAGACGGCATGCTATTAGATGTTTGAGCTTTTAGTCTATGGACAGTATGTAAGGCCACGGCCACCGGCCAGTAGGCAGTGCAAACAGCTAGTTGGCTATTTAATGTGTGTACGAGTGATGCGAGCGTGGGTGGCGCCGATGACGCGGCCGAGGGTGTGCTCCGCACAGTGCGCACTCGTAAACACGCGGCCAAGGGTGAGCGGCCCGGACCCTCTTTGCGGGCCCCGGGGTCAAGTGCAGAGGACGCGGTCGACTTTCTTATCGGTACGTGGCCCTTTTATTATAGACGATGACGGCTTACAAGCGCATCCAGTCTACGGCCAACCTCATGCAACACAATTGTTATTCGTACGTTACGTAATAATTGTATTTTTCGCAATCGAACTTGCATTTATATAAGTATGATACATAATTCACGAATTATCTCCCCATTTTCGCCTTTGCGGCGGTTTCGAACTGGGAAATAATGCTATTGATACCAAAAATCACAGGCACTGGGGGACAAGATTAACTAGATAAGAAGATTTTTTTCTTTCAAGAACGCAGAATTATTGTGCAGCTGAAAACTACACGTAGTAATAGTACGAAACAGTGCACTATTTAGACGAAGAAGCGAGAACGAAGACGCGTTTGAACGAAGTTAAGCATTGATTGCATTCTCTCAGAGTATCGAGTATCTTTAATAGACAACTCGCTTGTTATATGATTTTTTCTGCGATAATTTACTATAGATACTTGTTTTATGTTTAATGTGAAATGAAAAGAGAGCAGGCGCTTTACCTGATTTTAAGTGATTATCGCCGCCTATGGACATCTTTAACACAACTCCGGACGAGCCTGCCCATTCTTGCAACAGCGGAAGCTTATACGTGGCCCTATCTCAGTAAAAAGTTGTTCCATCCAGGTTAGTATTTGTAAAGAGGGGCTACATTCATCTTATTAAAGTAAATAGTTAACCACGAAGCTGCATTAAGAATATTTAAGAAATAATACAAACAATTAAGCATGGTTAATGAACAATATTTAACGCTAGTATAGTATCGGCTTTATTTTTATTACGTCTACTTTTATCGTAATAAGTGTATCAGAAGTTATTGATCCAAACGTGGAAGACTACGCAGATTATACGTTATATGAACATTTAACTCCGTGCTGTTCAAAAATTTCGGCATCCCATAAGATATAGATACCGCCGCGAATTCAGAAGACTGTACTAAAGAAATAAACTTTTTAGCGCTGAAATATTAGAAAAATAAAATAATGACAATGTTATTTAAATTATTTACAAGCTTATCATATACTAGTTGACCCGGCTGACGTTTTTTCTTCATATAAATTACTAGCTACTGCCCGCGACTACGTCTGCGTAAAATATGCTGAAGGCGTAGTATTCAGACAGAAAGGCAGATATAGATAAAATAATGTATAAAAATTATAGCCTACGTGTTATTGTGATGTATAGGTAAGCTATATTATTGCAAAGTTTCATTAGAATCCATTACAGTAGTATTTGCGTGACAGAGTATCAAAAATCCATCCACACATACAAACTTTCGCGTTTATAATATTAGTAAGGATTGGAAGGGTAGAAAAAAAAATTGTTATAAATCTATTCTCATAGCTACTGAATATAAATATAAAATTTCATAAAAATGGATCAAGCCGTTTCGGAAGAGTATAAAAATTATGGTAGCCTTTACAAATGTTTTGATAATTTAGTCTCCCAATTGAATTTTTGTTCAATACGAAGACGTTATTGCTTCAAGAAAGTTGTCCTACAACGCGAATTTTGAACTAGCAGCGTTGTGTAGTGCTCCCTCATAATAGAAGCATGCGTCTTACTTGAAACTAAATTAAAACAAAGCAATGATTTATTGAACTAAATTTTGCTACTAATAATGTTCGTTGTAACTCAAAAATCGTTACCGCCTTTACCGTTACTTAGTCGCCAGAGCGTCTGGAAGGTTCGAATCCAGGCAGCGGCGGAAAAGTTTTCTACAAATTTATCTACAAATTTTTAAGTTTCATATTAAGTGCAGACTAACAACAAATTAAAATTAAATCTCAAAATTCGTTGTACTTCTAAACAATTTAAACGGTTAACCCAGTAAAAAAAAGTAAAGTAACAGCCTATAAATGTCCCACTGCTGGGCAAAGGCCTCTGTACAAAGGGTATCAGGGCATAGTCCACCACGCGATCCCGTCCAAGTGCGGATTGGTGGGATTTCACAGATCGCCGAAATATTTTTTTTATTACTTCGAAAATATGCAGGGTTCCTCACGATGTTTTCCTTCACCGCTGAGCCCGGGATAATTCAGCACTTAAAATTAACAATTTCATTGGCCCCGGGGATCGAACTCAAGTTGCTCGAGTATATGGAATTAAAAGCGAACCCCCGGACAGTGAGTTATCACGCATCATTGTCATTGTCATGAGCTATCACGGTTAGCCCAGACTAGAAGCATTTAATTTTGACAGAACTCGCCATTCTTTTTTAGAAAATACAACGCCTGAGTTATTAGTAAGATAAGAGTAGATTTCCCTTTTAGGACACATAGTTAGTTTATAAAACAATTAAAGTTTTTTTTAGTAACGATTATATCTTTTTCCGTAAGCGGGGAGCGTAAAGGTTAAATGTACGTAATTACCAACGTAAAAAAAAAAACATATATTTTTAGTAGGGATACTCATAAATAGCATCAGGTTATTAGAATATAAAGTCAAGGAATACATATTGCGAATAACACTGTATTGAAAGAATGGCATTTTCTTAAAGAATTAATGAAATTCTAAAATTATAGAAAAATAAAGATTTCATTGCAGTGTTGCTTTTTTTTCCAATGCAAAACGTCTGAGATATAAAAAAAGAATAGCAAATCCGATGGAAAACCGGAAGGCCATTGAGATGACAACACAATTTTCAATATTTAACACATATACTTTATAAGTCTTTAAATACAAAATTAATATTTTGGTAAAATATTAATAAATTTAAAATCAAAATTAATTTCGCAAAGATTTTATGCAGTTTACGCTAATATTGAATCTTGCAAACTACACGAAAGAAAATATGAAACTGAACCACAAAAATAGACAAACCGAAATACTCTAGGCGGCAGCACGTGCCAAATTAAAAAAAAAATGTTTACGTCGTTACTGATTGCGCATCCCGAGAGTTGCCTCGGAGTTTTAATATACGAGATGAATGGTTCGCAAAGCTGGTTTGCGAAAATTTAGTGGGTGTGGCTGCTTCTCCCTCAGCATCAAGTTTTATTTACATACAAAACCGGCCCTTGCGCAAACACTCGACCTCTATCATCAGATAAGAATTGATCATTTTGATAATAACAATCAGCCGTCAGATTTTGACAAAAATGTTTATAATGCGCAGTTAATTAAACCGTCGATTGTCGTTTAATCTTTGGATTTGCGTAACTTTTGACACGAACGACTGACAAGAGATAACGTTTTCATTTTTATGTATTTACAGTTTCCATTAAACTTTAACATCGGGGTCTTAGGATCAATATTGGCTTCTTTAGTTTATAACAGTGTCTAAATCAATTAAGGCGAATATAAATTTTATGGGTATTATATCGATTGATAGTGATTTACGTTATCCACCATAAAGATTTAGTGATTGAAAATCTAAAATATTAAGGTGATGTAAAACGAATTTTGACTGATAGATTAAAAAATATATTGAACGGTGGTAGGGCCACGGTTCTGCCGCTGCACGAATGGGCAGCTCTTCCGGGGAATACCACACAAAACCGACATGAAGCGGAAGAATATAGTTTCGCGTTTTTTCTGGTAAGTGAAGTAACCGGGGCCCACTTTTTAATAGTAGGAAATGCCTATAAAACCCGTCGGGTACCGCCCGTTGTAGATGTCCATGGGCTACGGTAATCACTTAACATCAGGTGAATCGCTTGCTCGCTAGAAAAGCTTTCACATGAAAACAATTTTTTACTACTATGTAATAACACCCAACGTAAATTGCCTATTTTGATTAAAGTAGTAGACGACAAACAACCATCGAACGTCTTTATTACTGATGTTTTCAATTTGAATAAATTTGTTTACCTGCCATGATGTATTATAAACATTTGAAGAAGGTAAACTGACTTTGATCTTATGATTAGATATATTCAAATCAAACTTTACTCCAAGCTTGTATTGGCCCTGGCCAATTATCATTTATTTCTGAGGCTGTAAATTAACAAAATTAGTTTTTTTCCGAGCTGTTTTCGCAAAGCGAAATCTACCGGTAATCGTTTTTTTATACAAGATTATGTATACTCACTTGGGTCCGGCTGCGTGTGGACGCACAAACAGGTCGAAATAGCGCCAAGGCCAATTTGATAATAAAGTTATAGAAAACTGTTGCGGAGGCGTGCAACCGTGGCGGCGTCTGTTCCAAGACTGACTGACGTGCGCCGCGGTGAGCGCGCTGGCCCGCACTGCACGCGATAGCCCTTGACACCCAAGCTTCGAGCCAACTTTACCCAAATACCGCGATAGCCCATCAAAATCCTCACAATAAGTCCAATGCAATGGCGATATAAATCACGCGGTTAATGCAAACATTTGATCCAACTTTTGAAGGCGTGCGGAGGCTGGGCGCACCCGCCTCCAACAACTAATGTGATAAAATCCGACGCAATAACTTTTTTCGATATCAATGTCCTAAATTATCGTAACAAGGCAAACTTCGTAAAATTGCGTTATACGTTCAGCACGTAGGTAATACAATAATTTGACGAGACACGGCGATGGAACAATTCGTCAAAGTCAAAAAATCCCAGAACAAACGTAAGAGGACACTCTTACATATGTTCTTGTGGAGGTTTATTAAAGGAAAACGATTTAACAATATGAAGATGCCACAATTATTTCTCGGTTTGTATTACGTATTTTGGTGTATTTATTGGATCAGTTTGGAACGAAGAACAGTTCCATATACGACTTTTATTATATTATTATGGCATTTGCATAGCCGTATGCAAATGTAATAATAATTTTTGTGCTTTAGTGACCTACCACTAAAAAACTATCAAGCGATGTCGCCTGGTTCTTTGACTTCTCCTTGCTTAAGGAACACATCTGTTAATCCACTCATTATATCTGTGGTAGGACCACGCTCGTCGCACGAATGGTCAGGATCATTGGCATAGCATCTCAACACAATGTCGAAGATGTGTATGGGCGGCGGTAGAGAATACAAACAGCCTATAATGTCACTGCTAGGCAATCGTCTCCTCTGTGAGAGGGTATCAGGACATCGTCCACAACGCGGCCCCACTGCGGTTTGGCGGGCTTCACATGTTTTCGAAATATTTTTAGGGTTCCGTAACCAAAGGGTAAAACAGGACCCTATTACTAAGACTCTGCTATCTGTGTGTCCGACTGTCCGTCTGTCATCAGGCTGATATGAAATAGTTAGGCAGTTCAAATTTTCACAGATAATGTATTTTTGCTGCCGTAAACAACAGAATAAAAAAATAAATTAAGTAGGCTCCCATGCAACAGACAATTTTTGCCGTTTTTATAGATAATGGTACGCAACCCTTCGTGCGCGAGTCCGACTTGCACTTGGGCGAATATTTTTTGTATTATTTCGAAAATATGCAAGTTTCCTCACGATGTTTTCCTTCACTGTTGAGCATGTGATAAATCAGCACTTAAAATTAACAATTTCATTGTTGTCGTTCTGTCGGCACCGCGGATCGAACTCAAGTTGCTCGAGTAAATTGAATTACCGATTACTCCTCCGAAACGGCTCGACCGATTTTCGTGAAATTTTGTGTGCTTATCGGCTAGGGTGGAGAATCTGACAACATCTATTTTTCATTCCCCTAAATGTTAAGGGTGGTCCACCCCAAACATTTTTTTCTACCCTACAAATAATTTATATGGCAAAATAACGTTTGCCGGGTCAGCTAGTTTCTACATAAATAATGAACAACACTAGTCCCAGAACTGCCTTGCGGCACTTTTCATAGCGCATTGTGTGTTCGCCGAATATTTATTCTTCTTCTCTATTATTGTGACATTTTATTTTGGAAATAAGTACACCCAAATCTGCTAGTTTTTGTGTTATTCATAATACAATTTTTCTAAATTAAGTGGGTATACTGTATCTAAGATAGATCACTCTGAGATAGTGTATATTAAATTACCTTTATCTATTCAAATGATGTTTACCTATATTCAACTTGGTATCAATTTTTTTTTTCTGAAATATTAAGATAAAACAGGAATTGTTAAACAAACAACAATCTGCAGTAAATTTTTATGGAATACAAATTGATGTACTTAATGGAGACCGATGAAAATCAATAATACGGAAAAAATTGATATAGGTAATAATTACAAACTCCAAAATTACTTTTGCATTCCCTTAGATGAGTCAACGAGAGTATTTAACTGTTACATTATTTAATGGTAGCCTACCTTTTTAGATAGTACCTTCTGCCTTTTTCCTATTTCCATATGCAATGGTGTGCTAATTGCAAGTTTTTAGGCATTATTGAATTAAATTTTCCACTGTCATCGTTGAATAAACTTCGCACCGACTGATAAATTTCGTGACATAGTTGAAGGTCCTACTGATAATAGAGCGCGATTCCGAAACGGCTTCTGTGACTATATCGCAAAATTTAAATAAACATACCCATTATGGATGTTTATTAAGAGAAGCATATTGTTATATAACTTTTAATAAAACATCATGAACGCGTTCGGGGATTTTCGAGAACAATCCTCTTCTAACGACTATGCAAGTTATTTACATATATTTGTGTTTAACTTCTGAAATTTTAACTTTTACCCTGGGCAATATTGAAGAGGCAGTTTATTATAAGACTTCTCAAGATTATACTTTTTCGACAAAAACAAAAAGCAAGTAAGATACCACGCGGAATATACAATATTCATGTACCCAATGGGAATACAATAATAATTATTTGCAATGAATTTTATTTACCAAAATAAATGACTACATGTAATCGATTTCATAGAAAACATTTCACTTAATTTACAGCACGGGTTGCATTGTAGATAAAACATAACACTCGCAGACAATAAAATTATCTTGTATTGCCAAACGATCTTTGAAGTTTATAGTAATAATACTGTAAACTTCAAAGGTCAGTCGCACTTACATATATAATATTTAAAAAGCCAAGTACACAAATGAGTTGTTTGAAGGAATTTTCCTTCACCCTTAATCCACCCTGGTAGAATACCTTTATTTATTTACCAGAAATTGACGTGCCCAGTTCAATTAAAAAGAAAACACAAAACGCTGTATTTGTGCACTGCAGTAGCACAATACGAGGTATTTTCGAGTATCACCCAACTTATTTGATATCCATGGAAATAACGAGGTATATAATTTAAGAATACATTTCAAATTTCACGATCATAAATAAAAAATTAAGAAATTCATGAATTTATCACTTTTAATCGCTAGTACTTAAGGAACACAACATATTCAAAGACACCGAGGATTGGAGATTAAATTTATGGCTAAAACAAGACTTAAAAAAATATCTTATATAGGTACAAAGCAAAAAAAAATATACCAAAGACAATACAGATTAAAAATTATGAGTTTATTTTCATAGAATAAATAGTATAAGTCAAAGGAAACATAGTATCGACACACAAAGAAATCATTTAACCAAGTTTATAGTTGCTAACATAAATAAAACAAAAATAAATCGAATAATATTGTTCAATACTTAGAACATAAAAATACGCAGTCAAGAACTACGCGGACACAATGTATAATGGACGTGATGCTAAAAGTAAAGGGGAATGACTTATAAGACAGATAGTATTTGAAAGGGTGCTAATTCTAATGTATCACAACTCGAGGCACTTGTAAACCTACATCTAATTTTTCAAAGCCATGGCAAGACATTGGATTTCTGTGACAATATCGATAAATGTAGGAGTTTATTTTTTCTAATCACAAATCAATAACGAATAACAATAACGAATAGTGTTGCGATAATCATAGTTTGAAGAAACAAAGTGCCACATTGCACGAAGAAAAGTATAAAGGACACAATTTAAACGAATGTTGCGTAATTAGAATAATTAATATAAAACATACGGCCATGGTTCGCGACCAAGTTCAATACACTGATAGCGCAGTTTGATCCCTGTTGCAGTTACGAATTGTGTCACGTAATTATATTAAGATTATATTTATTTTAATGAGTTTATCATTGTGCAATTCGTTATTATAGACGCATTTCATTGTACTAAGTGTATATTGTATAATATCAAACGAGAATAATGATTAACGGAAAATTACAGTTTTTCGCGCTAAACGTTCAAGCTTTGTCGCCTAATTGGGGCAATCGTCAACATTTTTCATGTAAAGAATACATTTTTCATCTATAGAAACAAGTAAACATTTTATGTGTGGAAAAAATCTCAAATTAGTCGTAACTGTCACTTAATATCAAAAGTATTTTTCCATCACTCGCCCCGATTCATGAACCATCTTTTTTGAATATTTTAGGGTTCTCTGTGCATGTCATTATTTAAAACTAAAACTAACATCAGGACACATAGGTAAAAATAAATTGAAACTATTATTTCAGAATGATTCGGAAAGTTAGTACATAATATAATAAGTTTTCTTTATTTTACCTTTGTTAACATTTTTTTTACCATTCGCGTGGAGTGCTGGAAAGTGAAAACAAACAAAACCTAACGTAACAAAATTAATTTTACTCACTTCGATTTTTATTTATGCGATTTTAGTTTTATGATATGTTAGTTTTATTTATACATATAAACACATGTATTTGTGTATGCAATATACATTAAGTACAAATGTTACACAAGTTCGACCTTTCGAACTTTTCGAAGTTCGACAAGATATGTTGTGTTTTAAAAGGGTGCTAATTCATTATACGTAGCGTCGGAACATAACAGCGAAATAAAAAAACAATAATAGGTGAAATCTGCACAAAACATTATACAGAACCCACTGCGTGCAAGAATAAATCTCGCACTTGAACTTGTATTTAAACTAAATCACAATCGCAATACACACTAATTAGACAAACGATGTGTTTGACGAATACAACAGACAGTTTGCGAGAAATGGCCGTTCACGTGGCACGGCTGCGACCTAGATGATTTAGATCGTAATCGACGCTCATTATTGTACAAACGATTCATCTTATCGACTCGAGGATTTAGGATATTTTCCACATGATAGATAAGGATTATTATAAAATAATTATCAGTATTTTAGCAATTACCTACTGCACAATATTAAATAAACTCTTTAGCGGATTTAATAGCGTTGAATTTTGTTTCGGTCTTGGGGAATTTGATAAACTCCATAAAATACGTAACACAGATTTATTTGGCAAGGATGACAGTTTTATATAAGGCGGAGATAAGTTTCGAGTCCATGTACCTGAATGAAATGGATAATTCAATTTTTAATGAATGTGCAACGCAACAGAAAAAAGCTCAGACGATTAGCCGACATATCTCCTATGAGCAGGCGTTAAAGTTCGTCGCCTACTTGATGTGAAGACGATAATGTTTATCTTGCAAAACATGTAAATAATCTAATTACTATGGGCTGAATATCGGGCAATCTACTGATATAATTATTAGACAGACTACCATTAAGATACACGCGAAATTAGCGAATGATTTCATTACCTAAATGATTATCCGGAATTTTTTTGATATAAACACATGTTCACAGAAATCCAAGTCTCCGCTTGGAGTTAAATTTAAAATATTCTAGTCGTACTTATATATACAAACTTATATCATACAAAGCGAGTCGTTTACTTATATCATACAAACTTTGCTTAAAACTTTTTAAGATTAATTTGTAGAAAAATTATTCACGTAAAATAAATATGTCTAAAAAAACGATAACATACCAGAATTCCATTTGTTTTGGCAATGTTCATGGAAAATCTTTAAATCCATATTATATTATGTAACCCGTTCTATCGTACCAAAACACGGTATGTTATCTTCGAAACTGAAAAAATGTACGCATATTATCGAATATTCTATAGTTTGAGGAAGTTAAAATAGTAAAATATTTTTACCGTAACTTCTCGATCTTTGTAATACTCGCGGAACGGTTGAGTTAAATAATGTGCCCGCATACCTTCTCGTTTAGGTATAGTGCATCGAGTGCGATATATTACTCAATTGGAATAATGTCATTGATTTTTTTTGTTTTGAGCAGAAAAAAATACTGATTTGATTTACTATTTATAACTTACACAGGACGTATCATACTTTCAGATAAATGTTTGCATAGAATCTTGATCAAAACATTTCATTGTGGTCTTAATAATAAATTAAGTTCTTGATTGATTTCGTAATTTGTGAATAACGAATATCCATCGCCCAATCTGTAGCCGAATAAGATCTTCTAAAATTTAACACTATAACTCTTTAAAATTTGCAAAACTGTGCAAAATTAAGCATAAGTTTCTAAGCCATTTCGCTATAATGCATGTTTTACCTTAAATATGTGCGATGTCTATAACTCCTTCTCTTACCCAAGGTAATTATTATTCATTTAAAACTAAATAAAGAATGCACGTTACAAAGTACATTACCACGTATCCTTCTTCGCTTAAGAGTCCTTGCTATCATTAAATGCAATGATAGGAACAATCCATTTAACTATTCTAAAACGTAACTGGCGACAAACAATATTTTATCATAATCATCCTGTCGTGCCCAACTCAATTTTGTTTTCATGCATTTTCATCGTGACATAAAACTTTTCGTTTGATTTGAGCTATTATTTATATCGATACTGTGCAGAGTTCAGGATGCGTGAAAATATTATATATTTAGATAAGTATAACAAGATATGCGTGAATTCATAAACAAGTTAAACTAATATTAGTTTCACTTATTCTCTATAAGAATTGAATGCACTGTGCATTAGTGGTTCGACAAATTATTCTATGAGTTATGTTACAAAGTTAAAACTTATAAATAGGTTTGTCAGTCTACGGTTGATCGCCAAGTACACCTGCAACAAATGTCTGGTTGAGTCGTGTTCCCAGAAAAATATGACACGTCAGAATAAAAATGAACTTAAAGGAAATCATCATCCTTCTGCCCTTATCCCACCTAGGTGGGGTCGACACAAAATACGAACGGCCTGTCTGACGCTAACTTTCCTTGGGAAACAAACTCCCAGATCCGGAATCTGTGGGTAACACAAATACTCGTTCCGTGTGGAAATCGAACTCACGATTTTGAACGCTGAAGCCAATACCTTAGCAACCGCGCCACCGAGTCATCTAAAAAAATATGAACTGAAATATTTTTTTATTTCGATTGTTCGAATTGTTTTTTATCGAAGAACTCTACTAAAGGGGCGATTAGAGTTTGTGCGATCAGGACCTGTTTCCGCCGAAGCCGGCAGGCTCACCTGCCGTTAGTCGCAGCGCAGAAAGGAGCCGCCGCTAGTCGTCGCCGGGCGCGAAGCACCTGCTCTTGAGGTGCATCGTGAGCAGCCCGCGCGAGACGAAGCCGCGGCCGCACACCGCGCACTCGTAGGGCCGCGCGCCGCTGTGGTACCTGCAACGCACCGCCGCCTCTTAGCCCCTCGGCCGGCCAGCGCCCACCTCACCGCCCACATCACCGCGCAACGCGGCTACGGCACCTCTCGTGAATGACGAGCGTGGAGCGCTGCGAGAAGGCCTTGCCGCAGTGCGAGCACACGTGCGGCCGCTCGCCCGAGTGCACGCGCTCGTGCAGCGTGAGGTTGCACTTCTTGGCGAAGCCCTTGCCGCAGGTGCGGCACACGTTGGGCTTGTAGCCGGCGTGGATGCGCGCGTGGTACTTGAGGTGCTCGGCCGAGGAGAGCGCCTTGCCGCACTCGCTGCAGAGGAAGTTGCGCTCGCCCGTGTGCGAGCGCAGGTGGCGGCGCAGCGAGTTGGAGTGCGCGAAGGCGCGCGCGCACCGCGGGCAGCGCAGCGCGGCCGCGCGCCCGCCCCACTCGGGGTGCGCGCGCGCGCGGTGCGCCAGCAGGCAGCGCACGAACACGAACCGCTCCTCGCACGCGTCGCACATGAAGCGCGCCTCGCGCCCCGCCCCCGCCGCGCCCGCCGCGCCCCCCTCGTGCCCCAGACCTGCGGAATTCAACGAACGGCCGTCAGTTACATTGTCATTATGAAGTCGTTACGGAAGTTATGCTATGAACCGGCCATTAGACGCACCGTGCCTGAAGAGCTGGTAGGAGTCGCGGAAGGTCTTCTCGCAGAGGCCGCAGCGGAAGGGCTGGCGGTCGCGATCCCAGTGGCGCCGCCAGTGCAAGCCCCACTCGCTCTCCTGCAAACACTGAGCGGCCACTACGATATAAGTACAATTACATCATTTTGCACTGCAATTATTGAACATATATTGTCCGCCCTTTTGAGGTGTTTCAATAAAGAAGTATACAGGGAGGCTTTTCTAAGTGTATCCAATTTTTTTTTATTAAATTCTAGACATGAATAATGTTATATAAAAAATGATAAATGCTTAAAATAACTCGTTAGTAATTTAATTACATTCATTTGAACTTATTTCAAAAAGTGCGTCATTTATACGCAACTCCTTTATTTTACGCGCGATCATTCATAACTAACACGCACACAAGTTCGTTTAAAAAGTGTCGTTCGACGAATAAATGTCGACACCTATTTATCTACATTGAGACACGCACACAACTAAAGTTTGTTCCTGTAACGGGTGATTTCATCACTTTGTCTAAATTGTTGTTTTCCTGAAGACTAGGCTGCATGGTCTATGAACCTTTGCCTGTTCGAAAGGACGAATGTAAAAGTTAAGTTAATTTGTTGATTCTTGTCATTTGAAATTGCCGCTGGTTCGAATTGAGATTGGATAAATTAGTTTTATGGATCTATTATCTTCGACTGTGCATGGCTAGAAATTGAAATCAGAACACGATCCTGGTCGTATTGTCTGTGTGATTTCTGTCTGCAGAGGCGGATCAAGCGCTGTAGGCAAGCATCTCATCGGCGCCCCTACATTAAAGCTATAAGTTACGACTGGCATGTAAACCCCAAAATCATAAAATTCCCTATATAATAATTTCTGGCTTTACACGCCAGTCGAACTCTTTAGTAAAAATAACAAGTTTTAAATATTTTTTTCTCGATATCTATAAGCTACCAGAGAATTCTGCTTGTTAATTATTTCATTAGTGATTTTTATCTACCGAATAATTTTTTTTGTTAGGTCTTAAAAACACCCAGCGCTAATGGAAAGAAATACCATATCTTGATTAAGCCGATATCGAACCCACGCGAATGCCGACAACGTTTAAATTTAACTTCATCACAATATAATATAACAGCCGATTAGAATTAATTCTCTGTCAGATCGATTTGAACAGAATATTAGAGATGTGATATGGTACCCTGTAGGTGCTGGAATCTTCTATGGCGTCTTTTGGTTTATTTTAATTTATAAAATTGTATAGATTGTTTTTATCATTATTTAAACTCATAGCAGTAGACATAACCTCGAAAACTATAGACCGAAAAATCTTTAATTCCAGACTTCGTTTAATAACAATTTTTATGTATAATATATTCATAACATTAAATTCTACATTTTTACATATTTTTCGTCTCAAGACGCAAAAAAATTTGTTGAACAAAAATTTGTATGGGAGTTCACCATAGTCCATTAAATTCTATAAGCTATTAATATTTAAACCTGTAATTATATTTCTGAAACATATTTCAATGTTAACTGCTGAACATATAATAATTTCTTGTATTTCTAGCTTGGGATACTATTATTAACAAAATTAAATCTGGGCCCAAACGAACCACTACTGCAAGACAAAATAAAATTATTATTTTGTGCGTAGATCGACACAAAAATTAAAAATTTAACAACTGGCTTTATAAGCTCCTTACGAAGACTGCGTAATTTTCTTCCTACTGCTACTAAAGTTACGCTCACTCATTCACTACTTCTGCCCATCCTTGACTATGCTGATATTTGCTATCTTGACATTACCGAAGTGCAGCTTAATAAACTTGAGCGGATTCAAAATTTGTGTCTTCGATTCATATTTGGGCTTCGTAAATATGATCATGTTTCCGATTTTCGTACACAGCTCAAGTGGCTCCCAATCCGCCTTCGCAGGAATACCCATATTTTCTCTGCTTCGTACAGCGTGTTGTTTAATCCCTCTACTCCGAAATACTTAAAAGATCGCTTCGAGTATCTTTCCTTATCCCATGAAAGGTCCCTTCGTTCTTCTGCCAATCACTCCCTCCAAACTCCTGTACATTCCTCTTCCTTCTTTAAAAAAATCTATTACAGTGACAGCTGTGCGTTTGTGGAATTCTTTGCCCCTTCACATTCGACAAGCTAAATAACTTCTTTCTTTAGACTTAAAAACCTATTAAAAGCTCATTACTTGGAACTCACGCTTTCCTTTTTCCTTTCCTATTTTTCCCGAAATCTTTGACTATCTCATTGACGCATAAATGCCTTCATCCGATGTTCATAAGTGATTCATGTACACCTCCCTCTGCTCTCTTCTTTATGTCTCATTAGCAAATATTCTTTTCACAATGGTTGTCTGGAAGAAATCGCTTTCTGAGCGATAAGACCGCCTATTGTACTTCCTTTTATATTCATTTGTAATTTGCTTATTGTATATTTTTATTTTTGGTGTACAATAAAGTATCAATAAATAAAATAAATAAACTGACGGTAGCCCGGATTAACAACGACACTCAGACGTTCAACGCCCCTGTCTGTCCCGTGACCATAAACATTGTAAAGGGTTCGAAACGTCGGAAATTATAACAAAAATAAACGCGATAAATCCGTAAACATAGTTTCATTTAGTGCTGAACATATACTAAATAATATGCAACTATTTTATTTTTTGCTTTTTATGTAAACTTATAAGGCCTTATAAAGATTAAAAACAAAAGTAAAATATGCCTAAAGCCATACAATTTTCTTATTTTTTTACATTCAAGGCAGAGACATTATATCTCATAGCGTCAGATTACCTTTTTGCAACGTGGGCACTTGAGAGGGCGCGTGGTGGGCGGTGGGGGAGTAGGCGGCACCTCCACACAATCTGTTATTGGCACAGCATGTGATCTGAAACAGCATCATCCAACATAACAAACTTTATTCTGTCAAGTAAGCTTCTTGGTACAAAATATACAAAGAACTATCTTAAAGAAAAGTTGACGATTGAATGGGCATTTCACCACTACCCATGAACATATTTATTTATTCTTTATTTACAACTATTATTGAGACCCACAGATAATTGTTTCGGATCTGGGCGTTTGTCCACATAAAATTTATATTTGTAAAACATCCTTACAATACATACAGGATCATGTAGTTCTATAGTAAGGGTACAGTTTTCATTGTTGCACGAATGGGCAGGTCCGATCCAGGTTAGTACCATAACCAGCGGGAAATGGAAGTATCCTTCTTTCACTTTTCGTCTGGTGAGTGAGGTAGCCGGGGCCTACTTTACTAAAAGGTGGCAACGTATCTGCAACCATACGGGTGTTGCAAATTCCCATGGACGGTAATTGTCATTTAACATCATTTCAACTTTGGGGTGGTCCAGAAAAGTTTAGGTAGGTGCTAAATATACAGCGTGTCGTTACAACCGCGACAATAAATGAACACATATATATAGAGGATAACTTTTTAAAATTGTATTAAGCATTTACATTCTTTAAACATCAATATTTACCGAGTTATTAAATTGTACAAAACAAACATTTTTAGAACACTCTTATGTATAAAACTGTAGCGTAAAGCTCATTTGTAAAGGTCACTAAGCATATGAATGGGTTGAATGAATTTAAAAGAGATAAAACATACTGTTAGAAGGAGAGACTTGTAATGTGACGTTTTGGCAAGGAATGAAAAAGTCTCTGAATGTATGAATCAGTTGGTTGTAGTTGTATAGGATGTTACAAATTTTGTTTCTTTTTTATTTAATTAGTTTGTTTGAAAAATATATTATTTTAATTATGGTTTTTTTAATGTTTTATATTTTTTTATGATTATTGGCAAGTAGCGTTAGAAGTTTGACATTTATTGTCGCGGTTATAACGACACGCTGCATATAAAATACATACACACATTAATATACGTAAATATAACATACTAGCAGACGGGAAAAACGTTGTCCTGTACACACGACTTAAATTCGACGAATCGAACGATGATTTTTATGATGGACTGTACTAAGATATTGAAAGACTCCACTTCATAATATCCATATGTAGCAAAATTTATAACAATAAAGATTTTCATATCACTAGGCAACACCAGAAAATTACATTTGTAAAAAATGAGCCAAATATCTTTGATTCAACATACCTATAAATTATTTGTACAAATACAATAATGGAAAGCATTCCAATATAATTCCATAACATGTTAATCTATCTTCTGATTATTATAACATTGATCATTCATTCATATTTTTCATATATTTCCATAGACCAAAAAAGAAGAGGACACATACTGAAACTGGTAATATTTATCTATGAAAACTTTTCATAATTTATCCACCCATGGACATATATACCACCCAATGGATTGCAGATGCATTACCAATCATTAAAATGTGGGCTCCGGTAACCGCACTCACGGACGAAACGTGCAAGTATAATACTTGCACTTCAAGTTGGTCTTATGTGCGGCTGTGGTACTTCCCCGGAAAAGTCTGCTCATGGCATCAATGGCAAAAGATACTGTGTGACCTAGCACTGACAGTTCACAAATGGCTAATAGTGATGAATATAAACAAAATTTCATTGAGAAATAAATAGCTAGCAAGCACATCTAAATTCTCCACACACATTACATTTTTATTAATATGTCAACACAGCTTTACTTTGAAAGTTATCAATAATTAAAATTATACTTACTTATAATGCTGTAATATGTCTGGCCTCTTATCAAATTTCTGTAAGCATATACAACATTGATAAGCATCTTGCGGTATCTCTCCCTTTCTAACCTTCTTCTTAACATTTGTAGTTGTGGTCTTTGTCTCACTATGCACATCAAGCAGTTCTTTCTCTACCTTCAATGTATCCGTTTTGCTTGTAATTATGGCTCCAGGTATGTTAGTTTCAGGTAATGAATTAATCAGTGTCTCTAAAACCTTTAATTTGCCCATCCCCTTATTTTCTTGAATCTCATCATTATCGCTTTTGTCAGTGTCATTTTCATTTTTCTTAATTTCTCTAAGGCTTAGCAATGAAAAGTCATTGCTGTCATCTGAATATAATCCATTTGTAGGCCCACAGCTCTCATCTACAGAATAATCATCTTCAAATTTTACAAGAACTGGAGGTGATACTGGCATTGGTTCAAGTTTTTCCTCTTTTATTTTTACTTCAAATTCCAAATCTTGTGAAGGTATGTTGGCATCTGTCTGCGTTCCCTGCTCACAAAATACCGTGACTGCAGGAGTGAGTGGATTTGTGTTCTGATTCAGGGAATAATTAATAGATTCTTTTATTTGGACGCCTGATGCAAAGAGGATACTTCGTAGCCTGAAAATGGTATTGAAATGACATATTAAATTTTTTACAGCATATTTATTTCACAGGATGACTCAATGGCGCCATTGCTAAGCTATTAGCTTGGTCATGGGTTCGATTCCCACAAAGGACAAGTATTTGTGTCCCACAGATAATTATTCCGATTCTTGGCATTTTTCTCTGGCGCTAAAGGCAGGAGGATAATGATGATGATATTTATTTCATAGCTTGTGTGTCATTTGTAATAATTCTAAAATCACATTTTTTATACAAATTTTAAAGCATGTCTAGAAAATGCTACCAAACATCAAGAAAAACCAACTATATATTTAAAAAATAAATCAATTAATCTTTAATTTTACATATAAGCACAATATCATTTATATATTTGTGTGTATTTTTTATTGTTATTTATATTTATATAGAAATATTTATTATTCGGTTATACTAATAAAAGCTCCATTTTTTTTTTAAATTGTAACCTTGAGAACAAAGAGTAGGCACTACGGGAATAGCAGCCCCTTCGCCTTTGCGTTACAAAGTCACAGGCGATCACGCTCCCCTCCGCACCTTCGGCTTGTTGGTTAGTCAGTCTCAATCACTATGGGTCACGTGATGCCTGCGCCTTTGTCACGTCAGGCGGGGGCTGCTCTAGAGGTAGGACAGATCAAGACCATGGCATGTCAGGGTTGACAAATTCAGTTCAGAATTCAAGTTTGAAGTAGCATTTGAACCAATTCTGTATTGTCAGATAAGATAATCTGAATGGGAAGTACCTAGTTATCTTTTTTTTATATATATAAATAGTATGAAGTGTTATTTGTTCACTATATGTTATACTTTATGTAAAATAGTTTGTGGTATGAAATGTTGTCTATTTCAATGTAATATAAACAATAATTCTGCACTTAATATCCCCGAAACAATTAATTTCTGATGCTTAAAATTTGACAAATCGACTTCTTATATTAGTAGGAACCTACAATAAAAATTACAACATCCTTCTCTAATGTACAGATTTGTTTTTATTGATTGTATGATGAATAAAACTAGATGTTTTATTTACGTTTCAAAACCTTAGGGTTGATGGAAGAAAATGTTGTGGTAACAAGTCTGACTATGGTCAATGCCATGTTTATGTATACGTTACGTATATGCATACGTTAAAATAAATATAAATACACATATTGGCCCATTATAGATGCAAATAAAATAAAAGAAATAATTGTTCCTACCTTGCCTGCACTTCTAATAGCTTCATTACAGAACTGATAGAAGTCGTTAACTTTGCAGCTACATTTATCACAAATCTTCTGTGGAAGCAAATCATTCTTCAGAACCTGTGGATAATGAATTCTCTCAAAAATATGTTACAAACTGAAAAAAAAAATGTTTTCACTTTTTGTACCTTGATCGGTAAATATAATGACATTTTCAAAAATAGCGCATTTTCTTCGTCAAAAATATCGTTATTAACAAATTTTGTTGAAGAACATAATCGGCAAATTGCATCCATATTTTATTGCAAATTTATAAAACGGGCTACAATGTTTATACGGTTTCATGAGAAAAGTGACATACAGACACACACATTACACACCGTTCAGCCATTTGTCAATATTAATCTTAAGGACTTAGTGTTGCCAGAATTCATCAAGTCATTGTGAGAGACCTAAATCCTAAACAAACGGATACTTATGTTTTTATAGATAGGTAGACATAAGGGCAGACAAGAGGGTGGGCCGAGAAGGCGGGCGAGGCATAGACTGCGCCAAACTTTTGATTAATGAACGCAACAGTTAAAGTTAACTTATTTTGATTAAGTTACAATTATTCATAGCAATGAAACTTTTCTTTCACTACAATGTCTTTGGTAAAAAGGTAACTAAACAATTTATTTGAAAAAATGTTATGTTAATCCTTGTATTTCAATAACTGCTGGATTTCCACAACCTAGAGATAACAATAGTTGAGCCCATAGGGATACTTGTTAATGTTAAGAAAACACTGAATTTTTAGACCCAATTTGCCAACCGTTTCCCTATTTGAACTTCGATTCAGATAATCGAATTAGTAGGGAGTCTGACAGCAGGCCTCAGTTCAATTGAAAACGGGGTTAATATTTTCGAAAGTATGGACTTCTAGAATGGATGAATTTCTTCAATAAAACAAAGAGAAGAAAATTGAGAGAAAAAAAATATCTTAGCCGATAGACTTACTTACTTTAATAGAATTCATGCAGGCTTCTACATCAAAATAAGGGTTTAAGAATTTGTATTTGCGTTATCAAAGACTATTAAACTATTTTTTATAAAGTAATAATTTCAGCAGTCTCCGACCCCAACTAATAATAATTTGTATGTATTTATATGCGATTGGTATACCCGGACATACGCGAACTCGACTAACGCGGCTATCATTCAGTACAATCTATCGCATTAGTTTCAGGTGTTAAGTTTATAGAAAAAAGTTATTATATTGTTAATACTGCCAACGCACAAAGTAAGATGACATGACTACCTGAAACATATAATAGTAAAGTTACCTTACAAATTGTATTGATCGAAATGTTACAATTAATAGGCTAATAACATTGGACAATAGACTCACAATAAATATAATACACAATTTTAATTTAAAAATGTGATAATTTATAAACATTAAGAAAAGCTCAAATTCACAACATTAGTCATCATTTGCACCAGATATATTAAATAAAAATTCAATTTAATTGTTAAAGACGCCTTTTTATTATTTGCGTTTGTTTAAATATGTTGTAATTATATATCAGAGGCAGCGGCGAACTTCCTGAAGCGAGGTCTTTGGCGCGATAACGCGACTGCCACTTATCTTTATCTTTATCGCGCGCCTTCGACAAATAAAGTGTAAAAAACGAGATAAAGCCGGGCCACCATTGTGGTCGACGTGACGTGAGCTCACGTTTTACACAAACCTTTCTATTCAAAACTAGGCGAACTATAGGTGTGATAGATATATTTGATGAAATATTGTGGACTCACTCTAATAGTCGCTGGGTCCTCGAAGAGCACTTCAATCGCTTGGTTTCCCGAATCGAAAAGATAGTAGGTGCTATGGACAAATTGCTGCATAATCTCGGTGGCCTCAGAGAAGGAGTCTACCGCCTTCATGCAGGGGTCGTGCGATCGATGGCCATCTACCGAGCGCCCGTATGGTCTCACGACTAACGGGCGTCCGATACTGCAGAGCTAAACTTTATAGCCTGCACCGAACGAATAGCCATCAGAATCGCACGAGAGTATCGAACGATATCCTTTGAGCCGAGCTAGGATAGTGGCCGCCATGATCCTAACTCTGTTTCCACCACTGGACATCCAGACGGAGATAGATGCGCGAGTTTATACTCACCTCCGGTCCAGGGGCTCGGTATCATCCTACCCTAGGATGATACCGAGCCCCTGGATGCGGGAGAAGTGCGTGTTTTTGAAAAGGTTGTTAACGCATTTGGAACCCTCGAGTGTAGCAGATGTCCATGAGCGACGGTATTCACTTAACATCAGGTGGACCGCCTGCTCGCAGTTGGAGGTTTGGCGCGAGCTCTTGGGAGAAGCATGGAGCTCGCGCCAACGAATCGTCGCCACGTTCTTGCCAAGCTGCGAAGCCTTGCTTAGTGCGAGGGGATTTGCGCACGTCACCTTTCGGCTGAACGACGCAGGTACTCACCGGGCAGGGATTCTTTGGTGACTACTTAAGTATAATTGGACGCGAACCAACAAACGTGCCCCGCGTCAGAGTGTTGGATCCTAGCCCAAAAGATCGAGCAGGACCTTTCTCCACCAATTCCAGCGGCGGCTGCGCAGGTGGGGAAATCTGCTTGGATGGCACTGGTCTCCTTCTGCGAACCTTTTATGCTCCAGAAAGAGATCGAAGAGCGGGAATGGGAGAGGGCAGACCCCGCTCGAAGACGAAAGCGCCGAGCCGGCGCTATAGCTGAAAATCACATTAAAATCCGTTGCGTAGTTTAAGAGATCTATGCGTACAAACATCGGCAGCGACTTATTTATACTGTGTAAAGATAAGCATTCAACGGTATTCATTTGGGCTTTAATCCCGACGTTTTAGCCAAGAAACCAAATCATAATTAAATGGTGATTTCACTACCACCCTTCGCACTCTTTGAACACGCTGAACCTCAAATAATTCTTCCAAAACAAGAAGCTCCGAAGCAAGTCACTGTCTGTCAAGCTATTTTGAAGCAAACGCCTATATACATTTCTCCAACCACCAGAGTAGATAAATATGATTTAAACTTCCGTCAATTGTAACATCGCTCTATATTGTCCAGAAAATTGACTGTGTATGTGGTGACTGTAAAACAGCGAAAACTGTGGCGTGGCCCTACCACAGTTAAAAAATTTCTCTTTTCGTTTGACAAAAAAAACGGTTAGTATAGGTGTAAATAGCAGCATAGAAACCTATGTCTCATAAAATAAACTTAAGGTGCGGCAAGACCTCATGATACGGTGGGCTAAATCTGCATAGATCGCACATTGCTATGATTGTTTTTGCAACGGAGAAAAACGGAGAAATTTTAATGTTTCATATTAAGGGCAGAGATTACTATAGAAAAAACGAACACGAAATAAATTTCAATTTCAATTAGCTAAGCTGATGTTTCAAATTGTTTGTGTGCTGTAAATGGCATGTGATAATAATGCTTTAAATGCGAAAAAAGAGCAATGTCGATAAAATATTTTGAGATTTTCGTCGAAGTGGTATTTAGCTTTGTGATTAAAGCGTCTGGGCGTGAGTCCGGAAAATGTGGACTAGAGTCCTGCAGGGA